GAAAGGGTAATAATTGATATTATAATTTTGATTTTTGAACTACATTTAAGAGTGTAAGATAATTCTAAATCAGCGATCATTTTTTTCAAAAGCTGTAGGACTTGTTAACTACTAGGAATAGAACAAGGATCTGATTGTGATAGAGCCGTAAAAACAAACTCTCTGTTCTCCTTGCGTATACACAGGTAGTCCCCAAATTATAGTGTATTCGAGTTATGACGAACTACCCTTATGACTGTCTTTTTTTTGTACATCTTATAGTTAGTAATATGTCCTACATACAATGTTAAAACTATATCCATCTGTAAGTTTATATGTAATGTTTCCAACATGCAGAGACAAAGATTGATCGGATTTACAAAGATACTGGTAATAAAAGGTAATAATAATGAAAACTAAAAAAAATGAGGTATTCAACTTACGTCAGAACCAGCTTACGATGGAGTTGTTGGAATGGAATCCCATTGTGAATCAGGAGCTACCTTTTGGTTATTCTGCTTTGAAAGTAGCATTTTTGAAATTTCTTATATGCAATATGCTCTTTTTAAGTCTTTTTCAAATACTCTATTGTGCATCCTATGTTCTCTATATGGCACAAAGTGATGTTTTTATAGCTCTTCCAGTTAAAAACAACCTGTCTTAAGTGGTGTTTCCCTGGCCCTGTATGGGCTTTCAAGTCATGCCTGTCTCACCTCATCACACAACTGCCAGTTCTGTTTGCTGGAGGCAGAGAGGGAGTTTCGTACCCATTAGTTCAATCACTCTTTCCCAAAACATCCAGTTTTCTGTTTTACTCATTAATCTGTAGATAATATCTTAATATTTGCCTATTTGTTGAATTTTAACCAAACATCAGTATTTTGCTGTTTTGTAGTTTTCAACTTAGTTATGTACTTCATTTTGTTTAGTTTGAACTTGACACCTTTTCCTACTTTTCCAGCCATTCAAGCTTTATTTTAATAGCATTATGAAGGTGTTCCATATTCTCTTTCTCAATTACTATTTTTGTTCGTCTTAGGAAATGTCATTGGCAAAATAAGTTGATCTTTCTGGAACGGTTAACCCCCTAAATTGTAAAGATTCTTCTGATTGTTTAATATAGCTTAATATGAAGAATATAATTGTTGATATTTCTGAGGACACAAGGAACCCTGGTGGCGCAGTAGTTAAGTACTCGGCTGCTAACTGAAAGGTCGGTGGCTGGAACCTGTCAGCTGCTCCGTGGGAGAAAGATGTGACAGTCTGCTCCCATAAAGATTACAGCCTTGGAAACTCTATGAGCCAGTTCTCTGCTGTCCCACAGGGTCACTATGAGTCGGAATCGACTCAATGGCACCTTGTCTAAGTACACAGGGTATAGTGAAAATACACTAAGTGTGAGACATCAGGAATCTGAGGTAAATTTTGAGTTTTGTCATTAACTATCTGTCCTGGTCATCTAGTGCTGCCGTAACAGAAATACCACAAGTGGATGGCTTTAACAAAGAGAAATTTATTTTTTCACAGTCTAGTAGGCTAGAAGTCCAAATTCAGGGCGTCAGCTCCAGGGGAAGGCTTTCTCTCTCAGTCGGCTCTGGAGGAAGGTCCTTCTCAGCAATCTTCCACTGGACTCAGAGCTTCTCTGCCCAGGAACCCCGGGTCCAAAGACACACTCTGCTCCTGCCACTGTTTTCTTGGTGACATGCGGTCCCCTCTCTCTGCTCGCTTGCCTTTCCTTTTATCTCTTGTGAGATAAAAGGTGGCACAGTCCACCCCGCAGGGAAACTCCCTTTACATTGGCTCAGGGGTGTGACCTGAACAAAGGTGTTATGTCCCACCCAGTCCTCTTTAACCACAGGTAGAGATTATGATTTATAACGCATAGGAAGATCACAAAATGGAGGACAACCACATAATCCTGGGAATCATGGCCTAACTAAGTTGACACATACTTTTGGGGGACACAGTTCAATCCATGACACCATCCATGGGCCTTTAACAAATCACCTAACTTTTGTTGCCTTTGCAGCTGTAAGATGGGATATCATGACTTCCTTAAGGGAGATGTATGTGGAAGTCCATTTTAAACTGCTAGAATCAGGCTGTCATTATTGTTTTATGCTATTATTGTTATTGGAGCCCTGGTGATGCAGTGGTTAAGTGTTACTGCTGTTAGCCAAAAGGTCAGCAGTTGGAATCCGCCAGCCGCTCCTTGGAAACCTGGGGAAGTTCTACTCTGTCCTATAGGGTCACTGTGAGTTGGAATCGACTCGACAGCAACAGGTTTGGGTTTTTTTTTTTTTTTTTTTTTGATATTATTAGGGGTTTTCATAGTGCAGATGAGAATTTGAATTATGCATAACCAGCATTGTACCCCTGGTGAAATTGCAAAGACAAGTTTTTAAGATATGTGAGAAGGTGGAAAATGTGGTGAATTTGCCCAGTCGTTTTAGCATCAGCAGAAGACAGTTTTGGCAGAGTAATTACTTTTTCCATCCTCAAATATACTGTCTTCCTTTCCACAGAGACTATGGAGGCAAGACGTCATATGTTTAAAATCTTTAAACCTAAAGAGAAAAAAGAAAGAAATCTCACCTTCAAAACAAATAAACAAAACTTGGAGGGGCCTGTAGGCTTCTGGGTCTAACGTTTCACTGTCCCAAGAACTGTAGACATTATAAGACCTCAGTGAGCCATGCCCATGATCTCATTGAGACCTTGGCTCCCTCCGTCTCATACCATGCACCTTAGGAAGTTCTTGGACCAGAGGCAGATGTGATCACTTTTGTTAGTTTTCCCACTGTGGCCCCAGTGCTACGGCTTGCCGTCTCTACTGATAAAGAAGCCAAGGAGTCAGGAAGTCATGAGATACTTTGTGAGGTCGACTTGGAAGTAGCAAGGCTGATTTGGCATTTGTCTTGTTGAACCAATCTTATCAATTGTATTCCCTCATACATATTTAATACTTTTTTCCTTTTTGTATTTGTGACTATGACTAAATATCTTAAAGACATCTCACACCTCACCAGTTGCCACTGAGTTGATTCCGACTCATGGCCTGTGTGTCGGAGAAGAACTGTGCTCCTTAGGGTTTTCACTGGCTGATTTTTTGGCAGCAGATTGCCAGGCCTTTCTTCTGAGATGTGTCTGGGTAGATTCAAACCTCATCCTTTTGGTTAGCAGCTAAGTGAGTTAACCTTTGGCACCACCCAGGGACTCCATCTTAAAGATATAGTCCCCTTTATTCTTTTTTTTTTTTTTTTTAAATGATTCAACAAATTTATTGAATATCCACTGTGTTACAGACATAAGGCTATATCCTAAGGGAGAATAAAGAAGAACAAGACCAAATGTCTCTGTTCTTGAAGAGCTCACAAATTATTAGGAGGAAGACCCACAAGCAAATAATCACAGTATAATGAACAAAAGTCTACAGATGCCTTTGGCTGCAAATGGCTGGAAATCAGATTTTAGCCTTAGTTGATTCGGCAGCTCAACAATGTCTTCAAGGACTGAGGCTATTTTCCTCTTTCTCTCATTCCCAGTGTGACTTGTGATGATTCCTTCTCATGAATAGGAAAACTTTCCCAGAAGATTCCTAGGAGACACCCTGTCAGACTTCCCTGGCCACAGCTGGGCCATATCTGGCCATCTCTAAGCAAATCATTGGCAAGGAGAATGTGACTCCCATGATGGGCTTAGGCCAATCAGGAATTAGCTCTGGAGTATGGAGCCTCTCTTTCTTGATCCTTGTGTGAGAGGTAGACACCCAAACAAAATCAAGGCTTGGCCACAAAGGGAGAATTGGGGAAATGATACTCTAAAAGAGTATGGAGGGGAGGAAGTAACCAAAACTGAGAAGAGAATAGAGAAAACTTCATGGAGGAGGTGTTATTTAAGCTACTATTATGAGTCTGAGCTTGCAGGTAAAAAGAAAAAAAAGAAAGTAAAAGTAGAAAGCCAAGGAGAATGAGGGAAACTCTCAGTGAGACGGGTTGACAGAATGGCCGCAACAATGGACTCAGACATACCAAGGATCATGAAGATGGGGCAGGACCAGGCAACATTTCATTCTGTTATACATGAGGTCGCCGTGAATCAGAGCCAACTCTATGGAAACTAACAACAAACAAAGATAACACCCTTTTCAAAGATGTGAAGGAACATGGCACTTTAGGGAACAACAATAATAGGAGGCTGCAGTATAGTTCATGCAGAAGAGTGTACTGGGAGATAAGACGAGACTGTGGTTTGGCGGACTTACAGCAACTGTATAGGACAGAACAGAACTGCCCCATGGGGTTTCCAAGGCTGTAATCTTTACGGAAGCAGACTGCTACATCTTTCTCCTGTGGAGCAGCTGGTGGGTTTGAACCGCCGACCTTTTGGTTAGCAGCCAGGTGCTTCACCACTGGGCTACCTGGGCTCCTTCTCACTCTCATATCTGTATTAGATGATGATTTCTCCACCCAGAGTCCCCTTCTCACTGGATAACTACTCATCCCTTAGGCCTTAGCTTACAAACGTCTTGGGGAGGCAGTCCTTGAATCTTTCTACTAGCTGAGATTCCCTAGCTGTTTGTAGTTCTGGGATCTTTGCTTCCTTCCCTTTAGTGCTAGTCATTATCCTTGTGATTTTTTAATGCCTGTCTTCCCCGCTAGGTTATAAGCAACATGATGGCAAAACAGTATGTATCTCGTTTACTGCTGTGTCCCTAGTAGGTAGCAGAGTCTCCCCGTAATAGTTGTTCTATAAATATTTTTTGAAACTTAATTTTGTGTGTATGTATATGTGTATGTGTGATATGTATGTATAATGTGTGTATGTATCTATATTACACACACACATACATATATAATTCATACATACATATATAGAAATTAGGTGTAGTTTGGAAATAAATGAGTTTGTCTTTTATGCCAAAGGTGTACCTTGTAGTTGTATCGCTGCTATCTGCTTCAGGGAAAAAAAAAAACCATAAATATAGGTTTATTTTTTATTCTATCTTTATTTTTATCTAGGATGCTGGAGAAATGGTCCGTTCTTTTGTTGGTGGTTTGGAACTTGTTGTCAATTTACTAAAGTCAGACAACAAAGAAGTTTTGGCGAGTGTGTGTGCTGCTATCACCAATATAGCAAAAGATCAAGAAAATTTAGCTGTTATTACAGACCATGGAGTTGTCCCTTTATTGTCCAAACTTGCAAATACAGTAAGTAACACACCTTCTTTTATTTTAATGCATGTCACAAAATGTCAGGGCTTAGTGGCAAAAAGGATGAGCTTAAAGTCAGGATACCTGGATTCAAGTTTAATATTCATCACTTACGAGGTTTGTGATTTTGGTCCATTTATTTAATTTCTCTGAGGCTAATATATGTGCAAATGTATTTTAAACAATAAAATGTTAATATGCAAGGTTCTTGTAAAAAAGAGGCTGTTTTTATTGGTCATTGGCAAGTAAAGTGGCCAATGTGAGTACTATTATATAAGTACTAACTTTCATCTGTGCCACTGGGGTTCTTTTTTTCTCCCCTCATCTTTACCACCATCATCACTATTATTATCCTTAAGATAATTGTCTGTGCCAATATCATAAGTGAAATGTGCCCCCCTGGCTTAGCAAGCTGGGATCAATGATTTTCTTTAGCTATAAGCCTCTGGCAATCGCTGTATTGTTTATCTAGAGCGGGGCCAGATGGAATAAGCAGGCTTAAGAGACAATGACTTCACCATGACCAGATGTATGTGAGCATAGCTTGGACTACCACTTGGAACAAATGTTGTTGATCAGAAATTCAAGCACTGGAAGGATTCTTGGTCTAGAGGACTTTTTAGGGCCAGTCTAATACTAAGAGTATCTGCCTAAGAGTAGAGTTCCTAAGAGTACCTGCCAGTTTCAGTTAAAGACACCCCGTTGTTACCTGAATCAAGAGAACAGTATAATTAATCAAGAGAAAATTAAATCTTATTCAGGTATATCTATATGAGGTAACTATATCCAAACAGGAGTGTCGTCTGCATAAAGAATACGAAAGGAAGATGGAAGACTCAAAACACGTCATTATGTCTGCTGCACTGTCTTCTCCTTTTGGAAACCAGGGTGTGTTATTGATAGGAAAGTATTCCCAGGGTTAAGAAGTAGAGTCAATCCACTTATCCCAGTTACGTGAAATATTTCCTTAAGATATCTAACAGCCTCTGAATATTTTTATTGCTAAACAACTTTCTGATCTATAACTTTGCGTTCTGGGTGGACTTACCAGGAAATCAAGCCTTGAGCAGATGAGTGATGACTTTTGAGCAAACTAACTCCCTTAAGTTCAGAAAATGAGACAATTTAGATTGAACTTGGCTCCACTGTTGACCCACCAAAGCACTGGCTCTCTTTAAGACGCCCCTGCGTAGCCCGCTCTTGACTCATTGCCATCTTAGTTGGTGATAAAAATCTAGCACGTAAACAAGATCTCACAGAATCCTTAAAATGCCTTTACCGCAGTTCATTCTCCTTTTTGCAGAACAATGATAAACTGAGGCATCATCTAGCAGAAGCGATCGCACGCTGCTGTATGTGGGGCAGAAACAGAGTGGCCTTCGGGGAGTACAAAGCAGTGGCTCCGCTAGTGCGTTACCTGAAATCAGATGACACCAATGTGCACCGAGCAACCACGCAGGCCTTGTACCAGCTCTCAGAAGACGCCAATAACTGTATCACCATGCATGAGAATGGAGCAGTGAAGGTACCGTGGAATGCCCGTGTATTTAGTCCAAGTTAGGTGCGTGTAGGCTGGAAAAAAACGTATGTCATTTTAAGGTTTTACTAAAGGGGGTATTTTGGTGGGCCAAGTCATCATGGCTATGCCGCAGAAAAGCTGTATAGGGTTAGGATTTTTCTAAGACCAAAGCATATAAAATGTACTTGGCAAAATAAGTAATCATTCTGTAATTTGAATTTGATTAAGGCAAATGCACAGTGCATGAACAATCAGTGATATTCATAATTTATTTAATATATTGTTTACTTGGCATGTAAACAAGAAGAGATGGTCATATCCATCTGTTGTTTTTGTTAGGTGCCATCAAGTCGATTTGGACTCATAGTGACCCCATGTGACATAGTAGAACTGCCCCGTGGGGTTTCCTAGGTTGTAATCTTTATGGGAGGAGATGGCCAGGTCATTTTCCTGCAGAGCCACTGGCTGGGTTCACACTGACAACCTTTTGGTTAGCAACAAACCGCTTAACCATTGTGCCACCAGGGCTCCTTCATAATCATATAGGCAGCGTGTAAACAGCAAAGGAGCTAGCTGTCAAGAGGGCTTGAGCTTCACAGTCTTAACCATAGTTACAAAGGGCCAACTCCAACACATGATTTTTTTAAATGTCTGTGCATCAAGCTTTCTATGCCTTTAATCAACATACAGGGATCACACAAACAGTTAAGTGCTCGGCTACTAACTGAAAAGTTGGCAGTTCGAAACCACCCAGAGGTGTCTTGGAAGAAAGCCCTGGTGGTCTGCTTCTGGAAAATCAGCCACTGAAAACTCTGTGGAGCACAGTTCTGCTCTGACACACACGGGGTCACTAAGAGTCAGAATCGACTCTTTGACAACTGGTTAACCAACGTACGACTAGGAGGGTTTCTGCACACAGACTGTCTCAGTCATCTAGTGCTGTTCCAACAGAAATACCACAAGTGGATGGTTTTAACAGAGAGAAATTTATTGTCTTCACAGTCCAGTAGGCTGTAAGTCCAAATTCAGGGCATCAGCTCCAGGAAAAGGCTCTCTCTCTCTGTCGGCTCTGGAGAAAGCTCCTTGTGATGTCTCAGTCTTTCCTTGGTCTGGGAGCATCTCAGCGCAGGAACCTCACGGCCAAAGGACGCGCTGTGCTCCCAGCACTGCTTTCTTGGTGGTGTGAGGTTCCCATGTGTCTCTGCTCACTTCTCTCTTTTATATCTCAAAAGAGATTGCATTAAGACACTGATCTTGTCAACCTCATCAGTATAACCTCATCACAGTGATAGAATTTACAACACATGAGGAGATCACATATAATCTCATCACAGTGGTAGAGTTTACACCACATAAGGACATCACATCAGATAACACAATCATACAATGCTAGGAATCATGACCTAGCCAAGTTGCTACACACATTTTTTGGGGGACACAGTTCAATCCAGGACAGACTGTAATGTAATGACACGTTGGAAATCACTTAGCGCCTCTGAATTAAATATCTTGATGACAATAAATATGAAAAATGTCTACAATAAATTAACAGCTCACATGTATTAGGAAAAAGAGATTTAAAATATTAGTTCTTTTCTTTCCTATAGCATGTTTCCTTGTACAACATTGTTTTGCTGTTTATTACCTCAGTTTGGGGCCTGTGACAACCAGATGCCTTTGTATTTTGAGATGTGTGGCCAAAGTAGGTTAAATCTTTCAGGCAAAAGTTATTAAAATCTCCAGTTAATCGTATCTAGTCAAATCTAGACCCAAACCCATTGCCGTCAAATCGATTCCAACTTATAGCGACCCTGTAGGACAGAGTAAAATTGCCCCATAGGGTTTCCAAGGAGTGGCTGTTGGATTCGAACTGCCAACCTTTTGGTTAGCAGCCAAACACTTAACCACTGCACCACCAGGGCTATAGATGTGGCAAATATGAAACATCGTAGAAGGAATAAGAAACTTAAAATACCAGTATTATCTTGGGGTGATTATTTTAATTTATCTTTCAAACCTATTACAGTTGAAGAATATGATGTTAATTTTTCTGAAATGAAACCTAATTTACATTAATGTGTCGATCTTTCCATTATAAGTCTGTTTTAATGACACATAAATTAGGCCAAATTAGTTCCTGCTAGCAAAAACCTGGCAGAGAAAATACCTTTTCAATTAAGCACCAGTTTTCAAAGGTAAATTATTTAAAAAAAAAAAAAAAAAAGTATTGGAATGTTAACTTCCAGTTGCTAAAGATTGATTAAAAAAATGCCGTCACGTTGATATGATTAGGTTTACACTTCTAAAAAGAATACATTTCTAATATAAAAGTGTACATGCCATACTAGAGCAAGGGCCTGCACAAACCAGGATAGTATACAGTATACAGTCTTTAAAAAAAAAATAAAGCTATAAAAATTAAGTAGCCTGGTAAAGTGTCTGACATATAATATATGCTTAGAAAATTGCCAGTTGGCTTAGAAAGAGGATTTCTAGACTACTGACAAGTTTTATTTATCTAAAATTTAATAAGGTTCACATGTTTTGGTTCAGTTGATTTATATGCCACGTGTATATGCAACCTTCAGTTATTTCATCTAATGAAAGTTAGTGGATAATCCAGAATCATTTATGAATTGTATTCTGTGCAAAGTGTTCAAACTGTGTTCACCCATCCATACAGTGTGTATTAGAAAAAAGGAGGCATTAAAAAGGATGAGGGTTAAAAGGGACAGGAAAGAGAAAGAAAAAAAGGTTTATTGCTCTATAGACTCTTTCCTGGGGCAGTGGTGGTTCAGAGGTAGAATTCTTGCCTTCCATGCAGGAGAACCAGGTTCAATTCCCAGCCAGCACACCTCAGGCTCTGCCACCACCCCTCTGTCAGTGGAGGCTTGCATGATGCTATGATGCTGAACAGATTTCAGTGGAGCTTACAGACTAAGATGGACTAGGAAGAAAGGCCTGACAATCAACTCCTAAAAAATCAATCACTGAAAACCCTGTGAATCACAGCGATTGAGTCCACAACCGATCATGGGGATGGTGAAGGACCAGGCAGAGTTTCGTTCTGTTGCGTGTGGGGTCACTGTGAGATGGGTCAACTCCACAGCAGCTAACAACACAGACTTTCTCCCAGGTTACCCTTCGAGATCTTAGGGGCTTCTGTGTCTCAAGTGTTTGCGTTCCTAACTACTTGCTATTTCTGCTTGAGGATAACTATAAAAAGCAGGACTTTATTTATTTTGCTAAGTTTACTTTGTCACAATAGAGTCAGGCCTTACTGTGGGGGTTTAACAGCACAAATGTACAACATGGAGGTGGGATCTCCCTTTTTCTCTCCCTCTCCTCAAGGCCTGAGCCCTTGGGGTGGCAGACCCCTTGGGGTGGCAGGAGAAGCCTAAGTCCGTTAGGGAAGAAAGACACGGAATCCTGGGTGTTGGGAAAGTAAGTTGCTTAGATATGGGAAATAAGTTAATACTGACTCCAGTTCAGGCTAGATATAGAGGAAGACGCCATTAGCCAAGATAATTCAAGAAAATATTTGGTCCCTTAGGGCCAGGCGGTATTCAGGCTCCTTCTGTAGAAGGGGCTGCTGCTCCCGGTCAGCCTTCTCAGACTCCAGGATCATCTTTGCCCTTTGCTGATCTCTCTCCTTGCAGCTCCACACCAGTTCGCATCAGCACTTTTTTATTTTAGGGTGGTTACATTACCTGCATTTTTCTTCCCAAACGGTGCTTAGGCTTCTCCCGCCACCCCAAGAGGCCTTGGCTCTTTGGAGCAGCCCCTTCTAGCTGAAGCTCAGGCTCAGAGGACAGGGTGGGAAAAATGGAGACCCCACCTCCACGTCGTAAATGTGTGCAGAGAAACCCCCCTTGTAAGAAAAACCTGGCATCAGGATTGGAGGGAGACTCACTAACAACCTGCGTTATGCAGATGACACAGCTTTGCTTGCTGAAAGTGGAGAGGACTTGAAGCACTTAGTGATGAAGATCAAAGACCACAGCCTTCAGTATGAATTACACCTCAACATAAAGAAAACAAAAATCCTCACAACTGGACCAATAAGCAACATCAGGATAAACAGAGAAAATACTGAAATTGTCAAAGGTTTCATTTTACTTGGATCCACAGTCAATGCCCATGGAAGCAGCAGTTAAGAAATCAAACGACGTATTTATTGCATTGGGCAAATCTGCTGCAAAAGACCTCTTTAAAGTGTTGAAAAGCAAAGATGTCACTTTGAGGACGAGGTGCACCTGACCCAAGCCATGGTGTTTTCAATCCCTCGCATGCATGTGAAAGCTGGGCAATGAATAAGGAAGACCGGGCTTATGAGAAAATTTTTTGTTGTTATAACTAACTACAGGGATATTTTTATAAAAAAATAATAAATTTCTGCTGAAACACTGCACAAAAATTTTATAGATGTCATTTTTATGTCACCCACTCTGACAGTGTCACCTGATGCCGTCTGCACCCCCTTAGTAACTCCACTGAGGAATCCTTAGGTTCACGTCCTCTTAGAGGGTCCTCAGAAGAAAGGCCTGGTTATTACTTCTGAAAAATCAACCACTGAAAACGCTATGGAGCACAGTTCTACTCTGACACGTGTGGGGTCGTCATCAGTTGGAATCAACTGAATGGCAACTGCTTTGGTTTTTTTGGTTTAGATTACCTGCAGTGAATGCCGGGTCACGGTGTGGAACTGCTAACATTTCTAACTTGGAATACATGTAAGGCTTATCCACTATTTTGGCAAATCCCTGTTTTTGTTCCCAATTGCTACTGCACCTTTCTAGTCAAATGCTTGTAACGCTATTCCCCAGTCCTGCAAACGATCCTGCTGCAGCTGCCAGTGGCCAGCTGTCTGCAGTCTCTTTGACGATTATCAGAGTCACCCTGTCTGTTCATGAGCAGTTTACTCTAGGGTAAGTTCCGTTGTTCAGCAATTTCCTCAACAGTGACGGCTGACATCCTGCAGCTTACCTGGCTCATGCCTACCGATA